CTCCCAAAGTTGGGTGGTTTTGGGTGGTGTTTGTGTGTTATAGGTGTATGTTAGGTGGTATTTAMAYACAAACAMCATATAAGTGTTGTTTGATAAAAGAATCACCCTGTATACATAGTGTAAGTAGGTCTTATCTATAGTCTTCACTGTCTTCAGTCTTCACACATAGTAGGTAGGTACTTACTATCATCCTCTTAAATCGTAATTCAAATGTAGGTTAGAAACTGCATCAATGATCATAAGGCACTAAATATTTAATTGAATAGTATTACCTACGCATTGCAGTATACAACGGTAAGTAGGTGAATACATAACAGCTGGTGTATAATAATTAAGCTGCAGTGTACCCTATGAATTTATACTCAAAGTTGTATAAGTAGGTTAAGAGTATTTTTTAATTATTTTTAATTAAGTACCTACTACTACTATACATATCAGATATACAGAGTAGGTTTAAATAATTTGTTATTGTTATTGAGATTTCGGATCATTTTAAAATATTAAAGTTACGTTCTACAAAAAATCTAATAGTTTCACAATTATAAGCTGTTCTAACCCTTCCCATTCTTAAGGAGTTATACCTACCCATTTAGGAGTCAAGATTCCGGGTTAAAGGTTTTGCCAGGTAACAAACAGRCTATAGAGATTCAAACCAGTGTGAAAAAACGCTTAGCGGGATGTTTGCATCATATCAGTATTAATYAATGTATTTGTTGCGTGTATTGTTGGGCTACCCCAGATCAGTGCTGTCGATCATTGCATGGTTCATATTATACTAGTATCAGATGAAATGGAATAATTGTACTCCAGAGTGAACTATCGAATTTCCAAAGAATAGTTATTAGGCTGTTAGGTCATTTTTATAGCATAGGTATATCCGCGCAAATAACAAAAAAATCTCTAATTATATATCTTTTTGGCTTTTTGGACCTTAAATAATTAGGTAGCCTACCTAATATTAGCCAGTGTTTAAGATTTAATTACCTTTGACATAGGTATTAGGTATTAGGAATTTATTATCAGTATATGTTGGAATATATTAGGTTTGTTAAGTAGATGATTTTTCATTCAAATGCACCCTACATTTTGATATATATATATATATAATGTGATATTAAAAAGTTTATTTGAATACTATAAATTGAATTTCCATATAAATAAGATTATAATTTTCTGTGTCCGTATTCTATTTAATGTATGCCATCTGTAATTTAAAAGTAAAATATATAAAAAATATTTATCGAAGTATTTAGCTAAGTTGTCGACTCCATTCCTTGAAATATCGTTCAAAATTAATTTTACTAAATCTGAGAACTTGGTTCTCACCTGAATAAATAATCAATATATTATGTGACAATTGTCAAGAAAATAATAAAATAAATTTGAACTGAAGTAAAAATTGGGTTTTGAGTATTTGTTCTTATCTTGCTTTG